AACTGCCATGCTTTGAGTCTTTGTGTCAGAAAAGAACTGTGCTCCACATTAACAACTTCTCTCAATAAAAACCAGGTTTTGCTATTTTTATTTCATGGACTTTTTGAAAGAAGAGTAAAGAATAATGCTTGAAAATCCCCATAAATATCTTCAGTGGTGGAGCTCAATGTGCAATCTCTGAAGGTTTAACAGTAACAGCACCTGGAAACCTGTGAGAAATGTGTGTTCTTGGGCTCCGCCGCAGACAGACGACACCTGCCATTCCGCACTTTAACAAGTCCTCCCAGTGAGGCTGACGTGCCTTGAAGGTGGAGAGCCATTGATCTGTACAATAGTTCTATTACATTGGGAATAGCAGTGCAACTTTTTAGGCATTCTTTTGCCACATTGGAGACTTCAGGTTTTCCATGGATATAATACATCATAATTATTCTGGCCTTGATGAATAGTGAGTGAGTCTTCTTCGCAGTGACGTTCACACCTGTCCTTCCCTTTCATATCCATAGGGCTCCCTCCCAGCGCAGGTCCTAATGCTCCATTGAGTCATTGCCTCTCATGGGTCTCTGCTATAGTGCCACCCTCTTTAACCCACCCTGCATGCTGCCAGCAGCTCAATCCTCGCACATATTGAGGATTGGATGAGACCTAAATTATCAACTACCTAGAACATCGATTTCATCATGTAACTCTCTGCAGGGTTGTTAGGTGCTGTAAAGTCACTTTTGACTCCTAGCCAACTCGTGTGACAAGGTTCCTACCTTAGGGCACCGATCAAGGTGCCCCTTAGGGTTTTCTCCTCTGTAATCTTTAAGGCATCAGATTGTCTGGTCTTTCTTGGACAGAGATGCTAGCTTGATTCAAACCACCAGCCTTCCAGTTAACAACCAAGTGCTGAACCCTTGCCTCCCCAGGGCCTTACCTCTCTTCATCAGAACCTCTCAAGTGGTCGCCCAAGTGATGTTAGCTTCCTCGCTGGAACGCCCTCACCCGAGTGCCTGAGTTCTAAGCTGTGCAGCAGTACCTGTCTGGCTGGTGAGGTGAAATGTCCAAATATGGCTCTCTATCCATAGTCCCTTTTGTGAAAGTATTGTACATTCTAGCTTCTAAACCTGTGGCTAGAATCTCATTTTGGAGAGCATTCTCTGGTATGTTAATGGTCCTGATTAAGGTGGGATATGTTCTGAGCCCTTCTTACTAGAGAAGTGAATAAATTCCCCCCTTGAGGATGTGGTCTGCTGAAAGACAAAGTCCACATCTCCATCAAAGCCATTCCTCTGTGTGTAAGAGAGCCATGTGGGAAGCAGAAAGAGAATTTGCAGGGCCATCAAGGAAGATGAGCCCACAGCGGAGAATGTTTGACATCTCCCCTGAAGTGGGGAGGCAGTTGAGGCTATGGCGCGCTGAGACTAGAGGCGGAGGCGGAGGGGTCCATGAGACAGAACTGAGGGGCAGAGCTCTGAGACTGAGGGAGAGCAGCAGGCAGGCTTCCTGATCCAGAGAGGCAGAAGCCAAAGGCACCTGGGGCTGAATGACTGGACGAGAAAAACTTGTTGCTGGCTGAGGAAGGCACTGTGTCATTATTCTTTATTGATCCTGAATTGTGGTAACCTGTTGAATTCCCTAATGAATTCCCCTAATCATGAGGTCTTTGTGAGTTCCCTAATAAATTTCCCTAATACATCCCCTTACTTGGGAGCCCGTTGCAGTGAGTGATGGATTCCCTCGGTGTTGTAGTTGGTGTGGAAACAGACAAGAGAATGAAGGCTAGAGGGTGCAGGCGCGTCCCACCTCTCTGCCTGGAGGAAACCGGCCTTGGGTAGATATGGAGCTAGATTCCCCTCCCTGCTGAAGCCAAATGGGGTCAGATGTGGCCTCCTTGCTGTACTATTCACTTACCCTTAACAACTACTGTCATAAGAACAATGACAACTACTAACACTTAGGCCTTTGCTACCCACCACTGTCTCTTTCTTTTTTTTTCCTTTTTTTTTTCTTTTTTAACATTTTATTAGGGGCTCATACAACTGTTATCCCAATCCACACACACATCAATTGTGTAAAGCGCATTTGTACATCGTTTCTCAAAACATTTTCTCTCCATTTAAACCCCCGACATTAGGTCCTCATTTTTCCCCTCCCTCCCCGCTCCCCCCTCCCGCATGAGCCCTTGATAGTTTATAAATGGGTATTTTGTCATATCTTGCCCAGTCCGACGTCTCCCTTCATCCACTTTTTGGTTGTCTGTCCCCCAGGGAGGAGGTCACACACAGTTCCATGTAATCGGTTCCCTCTTTCCTACCCACTCTCCCTTTACCCTCCCTGCTTTGCCACTCACACCACTGGTCCTATAGGGCTCATCCGTCCTGGATTCCCTGTATTTTCAGTTCCTATCTGTACCAGTGTACCTCCTCTGGTCCAGCCAGTCTTGCAAGATAGAATTCGAGTCATGGTAGTGGGAGCGGGGAGGAAACCTTTAGGAACTAGAGGAAGATTGTATTTCTCATCATTGTTACATTGCACCCTGACTGGCTCATCTCCTCCCCGAGACCCCTCTGCAAGGGGATCTCCAGTGGCCTACTAATGGGCTTTGGATCTCCACTCCGCACTCCCCCCATCATTCACTATGGTAAGATTTTTTGTTCTGATCCACCACTGTCTCTTTCCATGTACATAATAATATGTTCTCCCAGCTCCAAACTAACCTGGGAGATTCTTGAAGGGTGGGGTCAGCATCACCTATATCAAGGTCTATGTAAAGTGACAACACTATGCCTTGAAGCCCAGTCATAGAGGACATACAAAATAAATTGGTTACTACTCTGCCTTTTTTTGGAGCAGAATCTTTGAACCATGAGTATTTGTTTTCTATCTTTGAAATCCTCACCATAAAATAACTGAATAGCAAATTTCTTCTTGAGAGTTTAGCTTAACCAATAACTTCCATTGAGTCCATTTGAACTCCAATGACCCTACAGGACTGAGTAGAATTGTTCCTTTGGGTTTCTGAGACTGTAGCTCTACAGAAACAGACAGGCTCATCTTTCTCCTATGGAGCTGCTGATGGGTTTGAACTGTTGACTTTGCAGTTAGCAGCCCATTCTATATTCCACAGTGCCCCTAGGGCTTACTTTTGTTAGCGTACTGTTGTATTGGTTCAATATCTGCTGTTCTAAAATGACAATACGCATTTGAGATTACAGTACTTAATATGCTCGCATTTCAGATTGACCCATCCACGTTTTCTTCCCTCCTTCCTTAAACAAATATTGATAGACCTGCTCAACTCAGCTCGATTGCTTCTCATAAAACTTTCTGCTTTGGCTAGTTTATCTGATTTTAGGTGATCTCTTTCTTGCTGAGGTTTGCTGTGCCTGGTGGATAAAATTCTTCATCTATTTTCTGGAATATAAAATGAAGTTTTTAATTATAGCCATTTCTGTTTCAAAGCTAGAGCTGCATCTTACAACTGACAAGCCGATTTAATGTGGTGGGTTTTTTTTTTCTTTTCCCTCAAAGATTATTTTTATATCAAGGTCCATTTCACAGAACAGAGGACACAATATATTTCCTCACCTCCTCTGTTTCATCGTACACCTAATCACTGTTTCCTGCCCTCCTGCAGCTTCCTTTCCCTCAGACTGGAGGCATGGTCTCTTTTTTCTCATGTGAAAAATATACATTAGTTGATCTGGCTAGTTTGAAGGAAGTCCTTAAATTATGGAATGATTCATTGCATAATCTTCAACTAAAAAAGAACTGCATGCTCAGAGCTAATAGCCTGGTCATTAAAAACGTTGGTGTTGTTTATTTTCAACTTAGATGGGAGTTTTTGCTTATGCAAAGCAGATTTTGCTAGCCCCTTCCATGCCTCTCTCTGAGCACGGTTCATGATTCACGGTTCATGATGCCGGATGCAGTGCATGGAGCATCAGGCAGCGTGAGCCCTCCCATTGTGTGCGGCTGGTGCTCAATTCCCTCCCACCTTGCTGTCCTTTGAAATTGATTACACCTTCTTATTTTGCAGCTTGGTGGAACACGGGCCTTTGTGTAGGCCGGGGTCTTTATGGCCACTCTAAATTCGGATGTAGCACACTCAGCCAGGTTCATGATAATAGAGCCTCCTGGAACCATCGACAGGTCTAGGCTGCGCCCCACAGCACTTCAACGGATCCAGGCCAACTTCTAATAGTCACTTTCGTTCCTTCTTAAGTGTGACTTTTCCCCTTTGTTCTGTGGGCCTTTCTCTGGGTTCCTTATTAATTGACCTGAGCTGTCACAACTGGTCACCATGGGATGACTGAATAAACCATGCTCCTTGTGTGTCTACATGAGGCAATATGCAAGAATAGTTTCCAAGTTAAGGTCACACATGCTTAATTTCTGGCTCTGGGACCAACCCACACAAGAGCCATCAATTAAATTAGACCACTCTCTGCAGGGGGATTGCAAGTACCTCAGTTTCATATCTGAGTGGTAATTTCTAATGTGCATTCAGAGTTAAAAATCACTGATGAGCTATCAGAATTCAGGCCTTATATTAAACTGATGATCAAAGCTACCTTTCCTCTTTGAATCTGAATGAACCTAACCCGCTAATAATAAGTAGATCACCAGCTCCTCCTTCATAGTTTATCTTACTCAGGATTCTAGGTCATAACAGTGGCCAATGTGCTGAAAATACAGAGGTTTGAGTCCAGCCCAGACAGACCTGAGAAAAACCGACTGGGGACCTACTTCTGAAGGTCCTCCGGTATCACGTGGACTCCGCAGCAGGCCCACCCATTCTGGAATGAATCCAAATTTTAAAACATACAGCGCTCTCTATAAAACACCATCAGTAGACAAACACTGAAGCTCCGTGGATTTCTATACAGTGATTACTTCCTGTCAAGAACTTGGTTATTTTCATGAACTAGATGGGACAAAAATGTCACCCTGCTGCTGCCACATTAGAGAAAGAGACAAGTGCATCGGCAAGATTGACATGTCATCATACTTACCAGTAAAATCTTGGGGGCAGACACGAGTGTATCTTCCTATCTCATTAAGGCACACAGCCTCGTTCTTGCAGGGTTCTGAAACACATTCACCCACCTCCAAGTCACAGTGGCTGCCTTGATATCCAGGGCCGCAGAAGCAGGAATAGCCATTGATTCCATCTTGACACATGGCTCTGTTGTGACAGGGGCTGGAAGCACACTCATCGTAATCCTTCTCACAGAAGCTTCCAGCAAACCCTGCAAGGCAGATGCAGACAGGGCCCACAGGGTGGGAGTGACAGATGCCTCCATGCCGGCAGACGTTGCTGCCACAGTAGCCAATGGCAGTCTCACGGGTCACCCCACTGTAGCCAGGGGGACATTTACACCGGAAGCCTAGCTCTGTGGTGTTGACACAAGAAGCGTTCTGCTGACAGGGACTAGAGAAACAAGCATCTTTCAGGCTGCCACAGTCTTTATCCAAATTATTGACTGTGTCTGAGCAACAGCAATTGTCTTTTGAAAGACCAGTGCATATAGAACTGTTTTGGCAAGAGTTTGAGAGGCGCCTCGCGTCATTTGTGTTGCAAAAGGAATCTACCAGGAAAGCAAAACACAAAAGATTAAGCCTATATAGTTGATAAAACTATAGACCTTCATTCATCCCATCCCTGTTACATAAACCTGTTAATCACATAAACCCAATCACATAAACCTATTAATAAAAAACATAGCTGGCTTCATTCGAGTGATACATTTTTAACTATTCACTTTTCTTAAACAAAAAAGAGTGTTGCTAATAAGAAACAGACAGAGGTTGGTTGAGTTCTTCTTGTTTTCTCCATAGTCCTTTTCTCAGGCACGTGTGCATTGAGCAATGGGGCACATTGAAACAGGTGTGAAAGCTTCCTATCTGTTCATACGTGTGTCATTCACATATTCCCATGGAGTGCTTGAGGAAATGGTGGGAGATGAGTTACTATATTATATCAGAATATGTTGTCTAAATAAAAGCCATATTTAAGTAACCTTGCAATTTGCTATATCGCAGGTTTAGCAGCATCACCATTCTATGCTCTAGAGAAAAACATAGAAAAAGGAAAAAAATAAAAATTTATACAATACTTACTCTGAAGGTTTACTTTCTGCATCAAGCATGTCAGATATCTTACATACATTATTTTTAATCTTCACAGAGAAATAATTTACAAATAACATTAAATCCCACAGTCAGGAAATACACGTAGCAGAGTTCGTGACTTCACCCTGCTCCAAACACTTCTCTTTTCTAAGGGTGCATGTACAGAATTCTATTTAGACTAATAATGTGCAAGGAATCAATAACCCAGTAATATTGTCCCAAGTCATTAAAGATTTGCAAGTGTATGATACTTTCCACAAAGCACACTTGTGATTGTGGTGTGATGACTGTCTTAATGCTGTGTACTGAGAAACTTCATGCCTTGACAACTTAGTCATTTCAGCTCACCTATGGATTCATCTGCCACCAGCCCTGTATTTTCATTCGCTTTCTCGTTCTACTGCTCACCAGCCTAACAGTGACTACAGAAAGCTCACAAAATGGACAACTTGCTTTTAAGACAAGAAACACAAATCAGCAACTGTCAAAAAGAACACCTGGTGTACCGTGGGAAACATGTAATGATACATATTCCTCCTCTTTTTAGAAAGGTGTGGCAACCCACAGCAGAACGAGAAGATACTTAGAAGAAGCGAATAACTGGTTCAACATTCAGGGGTGAGAACAGCTGCACAATTATCCTCTACTTACTCGAGCTGGCTGCAATACTTCTCTTCGAGCGCTTGCCGTGGAGAAAGTCAACTTGTGCTTATGGATTAACCAGCAGGGCTGGGCTGACAGCACCCTTCTTCTAGTCCTTACAGGAAAAAACTAATTTGGCCTTTTACTTCCCATTTGTTTTCAGATCCTTCACATATAAAGCAATTCCTTTTAAGTCTTAGTCAACAAATATGTGCTAAGCATTTACGGTGTCAAGCACATGTTAGGAGCTAGGGAGCAAAGGAACATAAGACAAGCCTTGACCGCCGAGCAGAGGCCTGGAGCATGAAGCAGCAGGGCCCTGCAGAAATACTGTTGTCGTCATTGTGCTTGCTGGAGGAGTCGTTCTGACGTATCTGTAGGAGCGCGGGGCAAGCAGGGCTGCCTCACTGAAGAGGATATCCTGGAGATGTCTCTAAAAACATACAGGGGTGAAGAAAAAATGTCATCTGAGGAAGAGATTACAGAAGCAGGAGAGGCGTGGTCATTCTCCTTGAGTGCTAATGATGAGAGAGGGCGTGGACACAGATGAGAAGACAGTGCAGAGACAAGCGCAGTTCAATAATTTTGGCAGCATTTGTCACGTTCCAGTGGTCCAAGCTGAGAAGAATACATTAAACTATTGAAGATACTGTCATCCACGCCCAGCACAAATCCTGAATGTCTGAGGTGGTTTCCGTTGTTGTTGTTGTTGTTGTGACTGCTGTTGCTAGTGGTGGTATTGATGGCCTTTCTTTTTTTTTAATAAATAGTTTTTATTGAAACTTCATCCTCATATTATACAATTCAATAGTTCAATCACATGAGAAAAGTTGTACAATCTTTACCACAATCAATTTTAGAACATTTTT